GAGCACCCACAGTTTTGTTGTACATGTACAATGACAATAAAAGGCTATTCTATTCTATTCTATTCTAGAACAGGTCTGTGACATTGGCTGCTCACAGGTCGTACCGCCTTTATTACCTGAGACGGCCTAACTCACCTTTGCTGTGCGGCTGCTTCGGCAGAGCCTGATGGTCAATGTTATACGCCTTCTGCAAAACAAAGAAGAAAGGCTCATCATTTAGCTGAGGAGGAGGATGAGAGCAGTGGGGAATGGCCAACTCGGGCTAAGAACAAGAGAAAAAGAAACACGCAGTGACTCAAGGTGTCACTCCAAACCTGGCAAAATCAGGTAAAACAGGAACAAGTGCAGTCACAGCTTCAAGCTTCCATTCACTCGTTTACTCACACAGGTGAGTCTCACAGGTGGAGATCCTGACACCTCACTGCTAAAAGCTTTCTCTGTTTTTATCCTCCTCTGACAGAAGAACCGACACTGAGACAGCAGGAACTGAACTTTCACAGTAAAAGCATCAGATTATTATTGATCACAGAGACAGCCAGTCTCATGTGTGTGAGATCACCCTCAGAAACTTCAGCTGCTGCTGCCACCTTAATGACCCACCTGACATCACTTCATCAGTCAGCTGACCCAGAATCAGCTGATCTCAGGTTTTTGGGGGGGGGGTGAAAGGGTTAAACAGTCCGGGTCAGAGAGAGAAAACACGAGTCAACAACATCAGAAAGATCTGAATCCAAAAATAAGAACAAAGACACGTTCACCAGTTTTCACAATAAAAACCAAACATGACGAAGTGAGAAAGACGCAGCTGCAGCTGTGCTCAGGTCACCAGCTTCTGACCACAGGTCTGAGTCTCTGGGTTCCCGTAACAACAAACGAAAGCTGAAGTAATAAAACACGCTGTGATTGGCTCTGGAGGACCGTTTCTGCAGTTCAGGCTGAAGAAGAGCCGAGGCACACCTGTGTGTGAAGAACAGGTGTGTTAGAGACCTCGGCACAGATGTGAAGAAGAGCAGCTAAGATGAGAGCTCCGGTGTTCCAGATCTACTGGCGTTTAGATCAACTGGCGTTGGTCGAACAGATGTGTGGCAGACTTGCGTTTCAGGAGCTGCTACCGACAAACCAGCAAAAAAACGCCAAATGTGTCACCTGTGACACTTGTGAGGTTGTCTCAAACACACTCCGTCAGTCTTGATGCTGTTGAACAACAAAATGT